TTCTTTTCTTGTTATTTTTCTTTGCTTTCGGTTAAATACATGGTACCTGCAAAAGCATTTTGTGTTGTGTGTATTTATTAATTACTGCCCATCAGCTCCAGTAGCATTCCTAAATCTTCTGATTAATAATAACCTAATATTTCACTCAATACCTAGCTTGTATTAATTCATTAGCGCTTCATCAGTGTTACATGTATTTAAGGGTATTTCACTTAAAAAGCAAGATGCACTGCCCTGACTGCTGGCTGGAGCAAATGGCCCCAAATGTATCTTTTGCTGCAGCTTCTCTCATTGTCATTTTATTTCTTTCTCATCTGAACTCTAAACTCTGATACATACAGAATCAGCTTTTCTTCATGTTTTCATGCATTGTGTGGTTGAACTTGGCATGACTTCAGACATTGTCTCTATTGGTTGCGGTGAAGTAATACTGCAAAGTGGTAAAATGCTCACCCAGTCAAACCTTTACGCGACATGCATGAGTACCCCTCGCTGGCATGTTTGCATTTCTGTCGCACTATGATTGGTTCATTTGGTAACTGGTTTAGGATGGAGCAAGCAATAGAAAAGAATAGGTGTCAGAGCACAACGTACTGCTTTGTATGTTAAAGGGGCTTTTGAGATTTTGGAGAAGTCATTGATTATACTGAAAGTTTCTTGTAATGAGTTATGTGACTCTGATAGAAATAATAAATAATTTGCATGGGACTAATTTTGTCTTGTGAATTCTTGTCTTCTGCTTTATTGCTGCAACAAATGGACAAAGGAGAGAGAAAGTATTCCTGTCTGGTTCCCAGTGAAGTGTCAACCTTTGTATTCTGGCCCACCCTCTGCTGCTGTTTGCTAGATTCTTTGGACAATCGTTTTTACATTTGCCCCACCCTCGTGAGGCATTGACTTAAATGGAGCAAGAAGCATCTTAAGAACCCATAGAGGACAAGGGTGCATACAGATCTCTGTAAGCAAAAATGATCGCTGGTTTCTTCTTTCTGCTCATAATCACGGGTAAGCAAACATATTTTAATTCAGTTATTTCAGCATTTTATTTATATACAAATATATAAATATTAGGGTTGGGACTCAAAAAAATAATCTAATCTCGATTAATTGCATTTAATCACAGAAGAAAATCTGCCACAAAGTGCAAATGCTTTGCTAATCTACACAATGACTGCCAACTATAGAGCTTTTTGAAGAAAAAGTAACAGTAAGTTAAAAAAAAAAGTTTTAATTACCTGAATGGCTACATGAAAGTCATCAGCTTTTTGCGTTTTACCAGCTGTGATGGAGTTATGACTGGCTTGTGCTTTTGTTTGACTAAAGCAGCAAAAACAGCCTCTTGCTTCTTTAGTAGATGAGAAACCATATCCAATTCCACTGTGTGGAAACATCCTTCATGAGTGACTCTTTCTGTTGCCCCAGTGTTAAGTTTATGTTTGGCACAAACCCGTTGCTGGAACAGCCAAGATAATTCTACTACAATGGCAAACGCATCACCAGGCAGAACTCTTTGTGTGATCTCGTGCACGAGGGAGATAAACGAGATGAGTGCTGTTCCTGTTGCTCAAACCGCGGTCACTCTCAGTCAGCTCCCCCGCAGCACTGCTCTTTATTGAGGTTACATGAATATTCATAGCTTCATTAACATACGACATCTTACACAGGCATACACGTGAACAAAGAGTACCCGTGTTTGTGTGTGAGTCAAGATATGACCCTGTGATTGACTCCCCAAAGCTGGTGTTAGCAGTCCAGCGGACCACCTACAGAAAAGGCTCTTATACTTAAACAGATTTAGCGTAGGTGTCCTCCCATACCATAAATCGGAAAGAGAAGGCACAACCTCTCTCTAGGATGTGTGTGTATGCCAGAGTGCTCTGGAATGCACACAGTCTTTGCAGAC